AGAACAGAGATTAAGGTGTCTTTTGTTATTCATAACAAGCTCTTTTCCACCTCACAGGCGTTTATGTTAATGACGTGGCTTTTGAAAGCCCCTAACAACATGGGTTTGTTGCCAGGGTAAGCAACCCTGTGATTAGAGAATTGGAACTTTCAGTTCTTCCCCCTTCTGGGAAGGAAGAGGGGCCAAGAGCTAGACTTGGTCACTAATGGCCAAAGGTTTAATCAATTGTGCCTACATGATGAAGCTTCCATAAAAATCCATGAACTATGGGAGTCAGAGTGTTTGGATTGGTGAACGAGAACACATACATGTGTCAGCAGTGAACTGCACACCAAATTCCACTGGGACAGATACTCCAGTGCTCGGGACCCTTCAGGACCTTGCCCTGTGTATCTATCTGGCTGTTCATTCATATCTTTTATTTTTTTAAAAAATATATCTTTATTGATTTCAGAGAGAGGAAGGGAGAAGGAGAGAGAGAGAGATAGAAACATCAATAATGAGTCATCATTGATCGGCTGCCTCCTGCACACCCCTGACTGGGGATCAAGCCTGAGCCCTGGGCATGTGCCCTGACTGGGAATCTAACTGCTATCTCCTGGATCCTAGGTCAATGCTCAACCCCTGAGCCACAACCGGCTAGGCTCATTTATATCTTTTAATATCCTTTGTAATAAACTGGCAATCTAGTAAGTGAAACGGTTTCTTGAATTCTGTGAGCCTCTCCAGCAAATTAATCTAACCAAAGCAGGGGGTCATGGGAATTTATAACCAGTAGGTCAGAAGTACAAGTAACAACCTGGGCTTGTGATTGGCTCTGGAGTGGGCTGGGGAGGGGGGATCAGTCTTGTGGGTCCGAACCCCTAACCTGTGGGATCTAATGTTAACTTCAGGTAGACAGTGTCAGAATTGAGTTAAACTGAGGTCACCTGGCCGATGTTGCAGAATTTTTTGATATGGGAAAATCCCACACACATCTGGTTACCTAAGTTTTCATTTTGAGTAGTGCTGTGAGTAGAGAGGAAGAAACAAACAGGAAAGCTTTTCTACTTTGCAGGTACCAAGACAATTCATGAGTGTGTGTGTGTGGGGGGGAGGATTTAAAGTTTCTTTAACAAACATTATTGGGTCAACTGGGGATTTATATACAAAAATGATGAAGTTGGATTCCTATGTCATGATATATAAATATTAGCTCAAAATGATCATACAGGTAAATGTAAGAGATATAACTATAGAACTATTGGAAGAAAACATAAGAGAAAATCTTGATCATGGGTCAGACAGTGGTTTTTAGATATGACACTAAAAATGTAAATGACAAAAAAAAGATTGAAAAATTGAACTTCATCAAAACTAAAATATTTTTGGCTGCAAATAATATAATCAAGAAAGTGAAAAAACAACTTTCAGAGTGGGAGAATATTTGCAAGCCATATATCCAATAAGGTACTTGAATCTAGAATACATAAATAACTCCTACAACTCAATAATAAAAGGACAAATAACCAAATTTAAAATAAACAAAGGGCTTAGACATTGCTTTAAAAAACATATACAAATGGACAAGAAACAATGAAAAGATGCTCAACGTCATTAGTTATAAGGAAAATGGAAATCAAAACCACAGTGAGCTATACTTCACATCCACTGAAATAGCTATCATCGAAATGACAGAAAATGACAAATGTTCAAGATGTGGAGAAATTTGAACCCTCCTTCATCATGGATAATGTAAAATGGATAATGTAATGTAAAATGGCACAGACACCTTGGAAAACAGTGTGGCAATTCATCAAACTGTTTGTAAAACAAAATTAATTTTAGTCTGTAACAAGGAATAGAAGGCATTTATTTGAGCAAAAAGTTGCTGCAGCCCAGCAGACACATTTTAGTAGCAACCTAAATTGTGTTCCACCTAGACAAAGGGGAAGTATCTTTTATAGCAAAAGTTCCCACCCAGGTTCTTAATTAGGCCTATTTTATGTAAATGAGGTATCCAAATTATGCAGTTCTGATTGGACAGGGCAAGTCTCAATCTGTTGGTGGAAAGATGAAAACAGAGTTTCCTTCCCTGCAGTGGTTGACTCAGATGGTGTAAACAAATGGTGCACAGTGTGAAAGCCCAGAGTTCAGTCTTCCCAGTGTACAGTGTGCAAGAAGCCCCTATCAGCAAATGGCCACTAGGCTCTTATTATTTATAAAATTGGGGCCCTCAGTTGACCGTGGCTAGTCCACCTCAGCAGGTAAATTTCTTCTTGGGGTTCACATCAAATGAATCTTTCTTCTCGGGGTCCACATGTTAGGCATAGAGTTATTATATGACTTAGCAATTGCATTCTTAGGTGTGTATGTAAGTGAAATAAAAACATGTCAACACAAAAACTTGTTCAAGAATGTTCACAGTGAGATTAAAGATGGTGGTGGACTGAGTGGAAGCTACACTGACTCTCCTGGGACCAAACTGGAATTACAACTAAAATATAGAAGAACCATCCTGAATGATCAACTGCAACTGAAGATGAGCTAGAGAGCACCCTCATAACCAAGGAGGAAAAGTAGAGACCACAGAGACTGGCAGGAAGTGTAGAGGCACAAAAGGGCTGACTGGGCTCCCACAGGCAGCAGCTGAAAGCCCAGAAGGATATCTCAGCTGTGGGGGGTTCCCACTGAGGACTCTGGGGCTTAAACCCCAGGCTGGGCTTCCCAGCCAAGAGCACCAGAACTAAGAAAGGTGCACACATAGCATCTGGCTGTGAAAAACAGCAGGGTTTCTGTCTGCTAGGGAGAGACAGCTGGAAATGCAGGCACCCTCTTAAAGAGACAATGCACAAAGTTTCGTGTGCAGCCACTCACCTTGGGCTCCAGCAGAGGGAGGGCAGAGTGGACTAGAGCTGTGTGAGGAGAACCTAGGGTTGTGGGCTCTTGAGATAGAGCTCAGAGGATTCCTGTGCCAAAGTCCTTCCCCCATATTGCAGATGCAGACATTTACCTTCCAAGCAGCTTTTGCCTGAGGCGGAAGCACTTGCCGCATGCTGCTGGAAAACCTCTGCCCAACCCAGGGGAGTTTCTACAGCCTGAGGCTCATTATGAGAATCAGATTAATCAGTCTGCAGTCCTCAGAGTGCTTTGAGTCTTTGCCTGATCTGCTTCTGGACCCAGGCNTCTCAGAGGACTCCTGTGCCAAAGTCCTTCCCCCATACTGCAGATGCAGACATTTACCTTCCAAGCAGCTTTTGCCTGAGGCGGAAGCACTTGCCGCATGCTGCTGGAAAACCTCTGCCCAACCCAGGGGAGTTTCTACAGCCTGAGGCTCATTATGAGAATCAGATTAATCAGTCTGCAGTCCTCAGAGTGCTTTGAGTCTTTGCCTGATCTGCTTCTGGACCCAGGCCTTGGAAAAGCAGACTTTGGTGTGCATCTTGGTCCTGTCCAACTGCATCCAGCTACAGCAGAGGAGACCTCAAGCTGAGGGTTGTTGATAGCTTCAAACAAGGTACTCAGGGCCAGTGACAAACTGCGCCTGACATTTGCCTGCACCAGAGACCCTCCAAAAAGACTGAGAGTCCTAGAAGATCTACCTAGTAGAGAGAAACAAACCTAAACAGGCAGCCAAAATGGGGAGACAAAAAAACAAGCCCCAAATGAAAGAACAAGCGAAGTCTCTAGAAAAAGAGCTAAATGAAACAGAGATAAACAATCCATCAGATATAGAGTTCAGAATACTGATTGTAAGGTTGCTCAACAGCATGAAAAAAGATATGGAAACTATGAAGGAAATTAAGAATGACATAGCAGAAATAAAGAATACATTGGAAGGAATAAACAGCAGATTAGAGGAAGCTGAGGATCAGATCAGTGANTATTGGAAGGAATAAACAGCAGATTAAAGTAAGCTGAGGATTGGATCAGCGCATTAGAAGACAGGGTAGAAAAAGTCACTCAATCAGAGACCCAAAAAGAAAAAAACATTAAAAAACAAGAGGGACATCTATAATACTTAGAACAATAAAGGTAAATTAAAAACAAAAACAAAAACAAAAAACAACACCACCAACAAAAAAGAATGTTCACAGTAGCATTAATAGCCAAAAGGTGGTAACATCCTAAATGTCCAATAACTGATGAATGGATAAACTGATGAATGTGGCATATCCATGCAATGGAATATTATTTGACAATAAAAACAATGAAGTACTGATATGTGCTGTGAAATTGATGAACCTTGAAAATATTATGCCAAGTAAAAGAAGCCAGTCGCAAAAGACCAGATGTTGTATGTTTTCATTTATAGGCAAAGTCTAGAATAAGCAATTCTAGAGATAGAAAATAAATCTANGTTTCTTTATAATGTGATGAAAATGTTCTAAAATTAGATAGTGGTGATGATTGGTCAATTCTGAATATTATAAAAAACACTGAATTGTACACGTGTAAATGAGTGAATTTTATAGCATGTAAAATGTATATCAATAAAAATGTTAAAAAAAGAAGAGTAAGCCAGTGCCTAGCATGTGGTAAGCATTTAATAAATGTAAAGTATGACATTTAAAAAAATGTGTCAAGCACAATTCTTTGGACGGTTTGCTATCTCTCCATAGTGGTGAAGTAGCGGGTTGTGTCAAATATGACTGAAGGGCTGAGAACATGGGGAAAGGGTGTAGCAATGACAGAAAGAAGGCCTCTGGCAAGGAAGCTATTTTGGGGATGGAGGAGAAATAGGAATTCTTTTAGGGCATGTTAAATGTTCAAGTGGAAATGTCTACTAAAGATTAATCAACAAGAAAGGAATTTTATCCTCATAACAGGAGAATTTTGGATAAGTAAATATGAAATCTTCTCCATACTGTGATAAGCAAGAGTTTTCCTTTCTAGTGAGCTTGGGGAGATGGTGAGTTGACTGATATAACAACATTATAGGTAGTGAAACGATAGATTGGAAGTAATGTTTAAGTAAATAAAAAAAGTAAACCGGTTATTAAAAATGATCTCTCCCATAGGTGTCTTCAGAAGACATATTCTTCACAACTCCCATCCCTCAGTGTCATTCTCATATTCATGAATGAAGCTCTGTCCATTATACAACGGGCCATCACCAGTATCATCAACCGGACCCCCTCTCCATTGTTGAAGGAGATCATCTTGGTGGATGATTTTAGCTCAAATGGTGAGCAACTTGATCAAGGAATAGTAGTAAAAATGACCATTTATCAACTGTGCTAGGCTGGAAATGGGTTTTAACTTAGAGTTCAGGACACTTTGGGCTCTTCATATAGGGAAAAGCAAGGGATTATTTATTGATCCCTGTTTGCACTGAACACATTAATCTTCACAGAGCCAAGGCAGAGGATCCTCATCTCAATTACACAGAGGAGGAAAGGAAGACAGAGAGAACACATAGTGTGCCCAAACCGCATGGCCAGTCAGTGGTGGAGCTGAGACAGGCCCAGGATTGTGTGACTCCAAAGCCACCTATGCCTTGTCCATGCACCACGAGGGAGGCTTGAGGAACTGAGGTGGGCTCCAAAGGAGGATGTCAGACACCACGATTGAATTTAAGTAATTCCTTATGAGGGAAAAAACTATCTTCCCAGGTAGTTAAGCCCAGAGAAAGGAGGAGCTTTGGATGCTGAGACTCTTTAAAGTGGCAATGTCTTTTTGCTCACAGCATCCTCTCCTCGTCCTGGTCTAAACCCCGTACCCCAAGGAGGACATATGGAGAACTGGGAGACAGTGGGTAGGCCTGAGTCCTCACTTTCAGTGGTTTCAGAATCCAAGTTCCTCCTTTATAAGCTCTATGTCCTTGAGGAGCTTAACTTCTCCATGCTACGGTTTTCTTATTTGCAAAACATGTATGTTGATGATAATAACCATCTCATAGACTGTAATGAGAATTAAATGAGAGAATAATGGTAGCTAACATTGTTCTAAGCACAGTGCATATGTTAACTATTTTAACCATTACAAAAATCCTATGAGGAAGGAGCCATTTCTTTGCCCAATTCACAAATGCAAAACAAATAAACTAAGGCATAGTCTGATCAGGAGAAACAATCAAGGCTGCAGAGTTGCGAGTCCTAAGCAGGAGGTAGTTCAGCCACTACTATGTATAGAACAGTATAAAATTTCCGTTCCAAATTGATTATCACACTCAGAATTTCTATAGGTGTGCATTTTGTTGGCAGGAGAACTAAAGGCAAACTTGGATGAGACTATTAAGCTTTACAACCAGAAGTATCCAGGACTACTGAAAATAGTGCGGCACACCAAGAGGAAAGGCCTCGCTCAGGCCCGCAACTCTGGCTGGGAGGCGGCCGCGGCCGACGTTGTTGCCATCTTGGACGCTCATGTTGAAGTGAACGCCGGGTGGTGAGGCTCCAGGGGTTTTCTTCTTCTGAAAAAGGGGAGAAAGGGCATATTTTACATGCTGAATATGAGATAGAATAGTGTGGAAATAGGGAAAGCCAACACCAGACCTTACACAAAGGTAAGCTACAAAGACAGGATGCTTTTACTGAGGACTTTGGTTGGCTAAGGATAGTGATCTAGCGCTGGAGGGACAACAGTGGGCTTGGCATGGTGACCCTGACCCCAACCCTGACTTTAACAAATACTTTGGGACTTCATATATACCACTTCATCTAGATACTCACATGCTTATCTGTAAAATGAAGAGATTATCTTTTGTGAGGTGTAAGGTTTTTCCCAGTCCTGAAATTACATGACACAAGGAGAGGTGTGTTCTTTGGAGAATGGAGAATCGGGTAGTAAGGAGTCATCATTTTGGAAACAGGGAGACCCAAGAGGTGATATAAATTCAGGTAGAATACTGATGGTCCTGGGTCACAGTGGCTCAGGGGTAGTATTTGGGTACTAATATCAAATATGCATTTGACATGGGTCAGCTGCTAGCATCCCCAGCTATCCCCAAAGCTGCAGAGCTCTTCTGGGTTCTGGAGTGTTCCTCTCACCACCCAGAGCAGCCCTATCAGGGATGGGGAATGTCTGACCCTACCAAGGCAACCATACTCAGGACTCAAAATTCAACAAATCTAGGAGCTTTTTTCATAGCTAATTTTTAAGTTGATAATTTTGGACAGCCTGGTAATGATGTTATAACTATCCAAATGGCCCTTGGCAGAAAAAAGGTTCTCCACCCCTGGCTAAATGAAAAAGGTGCTCAATGTCAGGGCAAGGTGCTGGGGGTGGCTTTGTTTGCTTGCTTCTGCTGCTTACTGTAATATCCAACCTGGATTTGTCACATACCTTTCTTCTAGGGCAGAGCCCATCTTGGCCCGGATTCAGGAAGATCACACCGTGATTGTGTCTCCTGTGTTTGATAAGATTCATTTTGACACCTTTGAAGTGGATAAGTATGATTTGGCAGTTGATGGGTTTAACTGGAAACTCTGGTGCCGCTATGATTCACTGCCAAAGACCTGGATTGACCTGAATGATGTCACCGCTCCAGTGAAGTAAGTCTGAGAGGGCTCAGGAACTTGGTTAGCGCATGGGAAGTCAGGAATGAATGGTGTGTGCTGGTAGTAATGGAAGAAGGGTGGGAGGAATGAAGGACAGGGGTGAGAGAGAGACAGAGAGAGGGAGAGAAAGCTGATCCCAGATATGAAATCACAGACACTTTGGGCTATTTGAGGGTTTTCAAGCAAAATAAAGCAAAGTTTATAATGTTTTAGAAAACATTTGGGCCATTTAAACATTTATCAGGCTAAGAAGTAGGGATACTAAAATGAAAAAGATATACTTTTGATAGGCCTTGAAAAGGGTTATGGCCACACAGGGGGTGAGGGAAGCCTATACAAACAGTCCAGCTGGAGGGTTAAGGGAAAGCCTATGGGATAAGAGGCTTGGGTAGAGTTTCCAAGGCCAAACCATCACTGTGCTTCCTATCGAGCACCTCCCTCCTAACTCATTCATTACTGAGAGGTTAGTAACTCTCTTGCTTTGTGTTCACAGGAGTCCTTCCATCATGGGCATCCTGGCTGCCAACAGGCTCTTCCTGGGAAAGATTGGATCTCTGGATGGTGGGATGCTGGTCTATGGAGGAGAGAATGTGGAACTTAGCCTGAGGGTGGGTACATTTCCATTCTCATGGGATAAAGCAGATGGGAAATAATAGGAAGGTAGTATTATCTCTACAATCCTGGAACAAGGATGAATGTCATTGGTTCAAGAGGTGGACAAACTCTTATGTTTCTAGGTCACTAGACAGAGAAATAAGACTCCTGTAGTGGAGCTTTTTGGTGTAGGTCTATATAATCTGGGACATATGGGGAGAAAGGGGTTGAACTGAGGCTCAACAGATGGTATCCCCATTTCTCTTGAGATTCCAGGCATTTTCCAAGCATCTCCTAGAATAAAACAACTTTGTGGCAGACAGCTTTCTATAAGACCAAAGAGAAACTGGGCAAAGGGCCTAGGGGATACAGATGTGTGGGCAGCCAAATTGCTCCTGAATGGACAGCTAGAACAGCTGACACGATAGCATAAGTTTATGCTGAGATGTAGTCTAGTCTAGGACACATAGCCAGTGATGGGTTGTATAGCAATAAAATCCTGTGCACTGGCTCCTCACTTCAGCAATGATGTCTATTCTCTGACCCTGACAGCTTCTCATGTTTTCTCAGGTCAAATGAATATCCTGAATTAATGTGCTTTATAAGGGAATTAAGAGTACAAACTAAGATAATTGGAGAAATCCAATTGCAAATCCATATTATATCAGTGTGTCAGTTATTGCCACAAAAATGCTGTGTAACCAGTCACCCCAAACTCAGTGACTTACAGCAACAGTCATTTATTTTCAGAGATCTGCAGGTCCACCTGGGCTTTGATGGGGTGGCTCTAAAGGCCCTGGTTTGGAACTAGTGCCTTATTTTTTCCGCCCTATCTAATTTGTCAAGCATCTTATGGCCAAGCCCAACGTCAAGGGGTGGGGAGTATCTTGTCTACAGTGAAGCCATGAAGAACTGGGGCCAGTAAGTTCAACCCATCATGATCAGTTTGGAACAGGTTCCATGCATAAAATATCCCTTCCATAGTACTGTTTTGCCTCTTCTGTATAATCTACAGGCCTTTGTTAAAAGGCCATGACCCTTGGGTTTGTGACTGTTCTTGTTATTTTGCCCCTCTTTCATTTCCAGCCTAAGGCTGAACTTTTAAAAAAGGCTGCATAAAAGTAGTAAAAATTACATAGGTATTGGAGCCCAAATATTCAGTCCAAATCCCATTTTTCTACTAGAAAGTTTGTGTTATTCTGGGCAAGATACAAGCTCTCTAAGCCATACCTGCTACATCAAGAACCTAGCATGACGAGTGACACACAGCTTATCCTCGATAATGAGTTAATAATAAAAATAATAATAAGGATGTCAGGGTGGTGGTGTAAGAAATGCTGGACCTAGGCTCTAATCCTGTCCCTGCTAATTCCCTGTGGACTAAATTTCTATAAAATATACCCCCCCATCCCCAGCTCCAAAATTCTGTGCCTGAGACCAGGTGACCTCTTGTCCATTGTGATTTCTGCAGGAGCAAGATGATTTCCATTCTAAAGCTTATTCCCTTCTAAAGCTACTCCCTTCAGTTTCTTTCCAATTGAGACTCATGACCACATATTGTAACCACTTAGGACTCCACCAGGACCCCACCAGGGCCCCTCATTTATATTAACAAATAAACTTTGAGTCCTTATCTGCGTTGTCCATTAAGCCACAACCATTCTTTGGTAGAGAGAACTATATTTTTGTCTGGTGGTCTTGATCAGTTTTTCCAATTGTGAAATGGAGAGAAGTGTCCTTATTTTAACTTCCCCATAAGAATGATTTACAGTTAAAGCATGATAAATAATTTGAAATGATTTATTAAGATACGAATTAGAATTCTTGTTTGGCTTCTGGGACAGAGGCCAAAATAACAGAGATTTAAATAAGATAGAAATCAGGTTTTCTCTTCCAGAACTGTTTGAACATAAGTAGTTCAGGATTGAGATGGCAGCTGCAGGGCGATGGGGACCGAGACTCTCCCATCTTGTGGTTCTGCTACATTCACCATCACATCAGTATTCCGGTCAGTAGAAAGAGAAAGGGGGGAAAGAGAGAGTATGTTCTTTTTTTTTTTTTTTTTAAAGGGCTCTACCTGCAAGTTGTGTCTATTGTATTGCATTGTCCACTACTGGACAATTAGTCTTTAGAACAAGAAATATAAATGCAGAAGTAATTATTTTATGTATGGTCCTTAGAAAATTCCCAAGGTGACCCTAGCTACATTGTGGCTGGGGTGTTCCTACTTACGAGAGCTTCCCATGAATTTGACTGGAACCCCAATTCCCTGATTTAGGACCTAAAGCCTCTTTCCCATTTTTGAGTTCCTTGTCATTTTCTCTGCTCCTGCTTTCTGCATCTAGGCTGCCTCTCTCTTGTTAGGCTCTGTCTTTCTCCAATAACAGATCTTAGAGACCATCAGAGCTGCATGGACTGTTTTATTCTGACATCTAGAGGCCATGGCAATGATGGTGTGCATGGATGTGTATAAATGGAGGGGAAGCAGTGGGGCCAACGGGCGAGAGGAAAAACCAGTGTTTGTCAAGCACTGGATACATCCCTGGCGCTGTGCCAGAGCTGAACACATGGACTGCAGAATCAAAATCCAGCTCTGTCACTTACCAGCTAGTAAATTTAAGTGGGATAATAATACTACATGGTGAGGGTTAACGTTATGAAAAATGTTAGGATAGTATGTGGCACAAAGTAAGCCATTGCTATTATAAGTAGAAGCTTCATGTGTGTGTGTGTGTGTGTGTGTGTGTGTGTGTGTGTGTGTGAAGGGGGTGGGAAGGGCTTTTGGCAAGTGGAATAAATTGAGAGAATAAAATTTGAAAAGTATTGGTCAAGGATAATAGTTAATATTCATAAATGACAATTCTGACTTATCTTTTCACTTGAATTTAAGGTTTCTTGTGCCAACTGTTAATTTTTCTCTCTTAAATTCCAGTGGCTTTGGAAAACTCCTTCAACCAGAAAAATTGAAGTTGTATTTGGATTTTTAAATGTTTGGCTACAGAAAATAGAATCTGAAAACAAATTAGCTGTAACCTCCCCATAGTTCTGGGAATGAATAAGGAGAGATGGAGGAGGGTAACGGGAGAAAAGGGGTGCTTCCAGCCAACATTCATGGACGCCCCTGCTCCCTGAGTACTTGTTATGTTATTTAGTCCACCTGACAACGCTGGTGGTGGGTTTGCTCACTGAGAAGGAGTATTTTGCCCCGAGTTATCAGATGTGCAGTGATAGATTTGAACACAGGTTCAGTCTGATTTCAAAGTTTGGCTTTTTGTCAAGAAGCAAGGGAAGGGAATCTGTGGGTTCAGGAGTTGAGGAAGGGACGAAAAACATTGAGTTGATAAGGGTACTGGTCCCTCAGGTGGGTAAGTAAACCAGCAGGACTTAAGTTGCTCATCCCTGTCTCAGGGGCTCCACAGGCATGAATGCAGTAGGTTGCTAAGCACTGCCAAATAGGAGAATTATCTCCCCACACTGCATCTCACTAGGCCACCATGAAGAGAAGACACTGGAGCCATTACATCAATCTCATAGCATTAGATAGTTTTACCATCTACTGGAAGGATGACCATATTTTTAAGCCAAATATTAGAATGTGTGGTCTGACAAGTATGTTTGTACCCATCACGATGACAAAAAAAATATTTAAAATTGTATCATAAGTCATGGTATCTCTCGGTCAAGAACTACCTGTGTTAGTTATCTATCGCTGTGTAACAACATTATTGCAAACTTAGTGGCTTAAAGCAAGACATGTTTACTATCCCACAGTTAACGTGGGTCAGGAGTCCATGCCTGGCTTAGGGGGGTCTCTGCAAGGTTGCAGTCAAGGTGTTGGCCAGGGCTGGGTTCTCATCTAGGACTGACTGAGAAGGATCTCCTTCTAGATTCATGCTGGTTTTGGCAGCACTCGTTCCTTGAAGTCTTCCAGACTGAGGGGGCGTTCAGGTTGTGGCCGGCTCTCATTTTGAAGCTGTCCTTAGTTTCTTGCACTCTCCATGTGGTGGCTCACAACGTGGTGGCTTGTTTCCTTAGAGCCAGTAGGAGAGTGCATCTCCTAGCAAGCTGGGCACTACAGTCTTATGTAATCGCACACATGTAATCATGTACATACTATCATCTTTGCCATACTCTGTTGGTTAGAGGAAGATCACAAGCTCACACTCAAACAGAGGGGAGTAGGGAAGTGTGTGAAGACCAGGAGGCAGGGGTCATGGGGGCCACCTGCAAGTCTGTGCAGCACCTTGTCTTATATCTGGCATGCAGAACAAAGAGAGTTCATGGGACGCTAACTCCAGTGGGATTAGCTCAGGGCGTGGTGACTTTCAGCACTTTGGCACTTTCCTTGGGGATAAATGAGCAGGGACAGACTGCCATTTGGTTTGTTTTGGAGGACTTCCTGAAGGGGGTAGGATTTCTGGAACTGTCTGAATGACAGGAGAGAAGAAGTAAGGTAAACTTCTAAGGAAGGTTGTTTTAGATAAGTGGGTTGGGAGGCAACAGATATGGGAGTGGGAGAAGTGATTTTTACCTTTTTTAGAAAATATATATCTTTATTGATTTCTGAGAGAGGAAAGGAGAGGGGGAGAGAGAGAGAAACATCAATGATGAGAGAGTCATTGATCTGCTGCCTCCTGCACGCCCCTGACTGGGGATCGAGCCCACATCCTGGGCATGTGCCCTGACCGGGAATCAAACCACAATCTCCTGGATCATAGGTTGATGCTCAACCACTAAGCCATGCAGGCTGAGCTGAATTTACAGTCTTTAAAAAATGGCTCCAAATTGTTGGTCTCTGTGCATCAGTAAGCTGTACTACTTATCACCCATGGGGCAAGCCTGTCCAGATGATTTTTTCCCCTTCTTGTGCAGGTGTGGCAGTGTGGAGGGAGAATCGAGGTCTTGCCCTGCTCCCGGATTGCTCACCTAGAGAGATACCACAAGCCCTATGCCTTGGATCTGACTCCTGCCTTGAGGCGCAATGCTCTCAGAGTGGCCGAAATCTGGATGGATGAGTACAAAGACATGGTCTACTTGGCCTGGAACATACCTCTCCAGGTTTGTCATGGCATTGAATAGGAGCAGGGAAGAACAAAGGAGGAGGTGGCAGTGGTAGTGGTGGGAAATGGGAAGGGATACAGCAAAAGTCCCATCCCAGCCCTCAAGAATAAGTGTAGACCTGGCTGGTGTTGCCCAATGGTTAGTGTCAGTCCACACATTGAAGGGTTGAGGGTTCAGTTCCCCGTCAAGGACACATACCTGGGTTGCAGATTCGATCCCTGGATCTGGTTGGGGTGAGTGCGAGAAGCAACCAATCAATCTGTCTCTTTCACATCAATGTTTCTTTCTCTCCCTCTCCCTTCTTCCCTTCCACTGTCTCTAAAAATCAATGGAAAAAATATCCTCGAGTGAGGATTAACAACAACAAAAAAGAATAAGGGTAAAGTCCAGATGATGTGATGATAGTGACACATTTATGTAGCAATAGTATGTCCCAGACTCATTAATCATCACAACATACTTATTGGGTAGGTTTTATTTTTAATTTTGTATTTAAAAAATTTTCAATTAGAGTTGACATTCAATATTATATTAGTTTCAGTTGTACCTCATAGTGCTTAGGCATTTATGTAACTTATCAAGAATTCCCGGGGAAAGTCTACCAAATTGGCACTGTGTACAGAGTTATTACAATATAATTGACTGTATTCCCTATGCTGTAATTTACATCCCTGAGACTATTTTATAACTGCCAATTTTTACTTCTTAATCCCTTCATCTTTTCCACCCATCCCCCAACATCTGGCAACCATCAGTTTTGTTTGTTTATTTATTTTGTTTTTTTAGATTCTGCATGTAAGTGAAATCATATATTTGCCTTTCTGTGTTGGACTTACTTTATTTAGCATAATACCCTCTATGTCCATTCATGTTGTCACAAATGGCAAGATTTCATTCTTGTTTATGGCTAAGTAATATTCCATTGTATATATGTATCATATCATTTTTATGCATTTGTCTATTGATAGACACTTAGGTTGCTTTCATACTTTGGCTATTGCAAGTAATGATGCAATGAACATAGAGGTGCATATATCAAATAGTGTTTCAAATAGTGTTTTGGATTTCTTCAAAGAAGAACCCAGAAGTGGAATCCTGGGTCATTTGGTAGTTCTATTTTTAATTTTTTTTAAATCCTCACCCAAGGACATGTTTCTTTTGATTTTAAAGAAAGAAGAAGGGAGAGGGGAGAGAGAGAGAGAGAACATTGATGTGAGAGAGAAATATTGATCAATTGCTTCCTGTACACACCCCTACTGGGGATCGAGCCTGCAATCTGGGTTGTGCCCTGACTGGGAATCAAACCCAGAATCCTTTGACACATGGGATGATGCTCCAACCAACTGAGAAACACTGGCCAGGGCTCTATTTTTAATTTTTTTATGAACCTCTTGTCTGATCGCTGTGGCTGGGACTTCCAGTACTACGTTGTATAAGGGTGGTGAAAATGGACATCCCTGTCTTGTACCTGTTCTTAAGGGAAACATTTTTAGTTTTTGTCCATTGAGTAAGACGTTGGCTGTAGGTTTGTCATATATAGTCTTTATTATGATGAAATATGACCCCTCTCGTCCCACTTTGCTGAGAATTCTTATCAAAAGGGGTTCTGGATTTTGTTGAATGATTTCTCTGCATCTATTGATATGATCATGTGATTTTCATCTTTCATTTTTTTATGTGATGTATCACATTTATTGATTTACAAATATTGTACCAGCCTTGCATCCCCAGAATAAATCCCACTTGGTCATGGTGTACAATGTTTTTAATGTGTTGCTGGATCCGATTTGCTAATATTTTGCTGAGGATTTTAGCATCTATGTTCATTAGGGATCTTGGTCTATAATTTTCTTTCTTTGCAGTGTCTTTATCTGGTTTTGGAATTAAGATAATGCTGGCCTTGTAAAAAGCTTGGAAGTCTTCCCTCCTCTTGAATTTTTTGGAATAGTTTGAGGAGGATAGGTGTTAGTTCTTCTTTGAATGTTTGGTAAAACTTGCCTGTGAAGTCATCTGGTCAAGGACTTTTGTTTGCTGGGAGTTATTTTATTACTGCTTCAATTTCATTTTTTGTTATTGGTTTATTCAGGTTTTCTAATTCTTCCTGATTGAGTTTTGGAAGATAGTATGTTTCCAGGATTTGTCTGTTTTGCCCAGGTTGTCCATTTTGTTGGCATATAGTTGTTCTTAGTATGTTCTTACAGTCCTTTGTATATCTGTGGTGTTGGTTGTAACTTCCCCTCTGTCATTTCTGATTTTATTTATTTGGATCCCCTCTCTTTGTTTCTTGATGATTCTGGCTAAAGGTTCATCAATCTTGTTTATCTTTTCAAAAAACCAGCTCTTGGTTTCACTGCTTTTTTGATTTTTGTGTTTTGTTTTTTTTTTTAGTCTCTATGTCAGTTATTTCTGCTCTGATCTTTATTATTTCTTTTCTTCTAGTTACTCTGGGACTTTTTGTTGTTCTCTTTTTAATTCTTTTAGTTGTAGGGTTAGATCATTTATTTGAGCTTTTTATTATTTCTTGATATAGGCCTGTAATGCTATGAATTTCCCGCTCAGGATTGCTTTAGCCTTGTCCCATAGCTTTTGGGTTCTTGGGTGTTCATTTTCATTTGTTTTCAGGAAGTTTTTGATTTCTTCCTTGATCTCTTTGGTAACCCATTATTGTTTAAATACATGCTATTTATCCTCCATGTATTTGAATGTTTTTAAGTGTTTTTTTTTATTATTGTAATTGATTTCTAGTTTCATGTCATTGTGACCTGAGAAGATGCTTTATATGATTTCAGTCTTCTTGAACTTGTATACACTTGTTTTGTGTCCTAACATGTAGTCTATCTTTGAGAATGTTCCATGTGCACTTGAGTAGAATGTATATTCTGCAGCTTTGGGATGAAATGTTCTGTAAATATCAATTAAATTCAACTAATGTATTGTGTTGTCCAGGTTTGCTGTTTCCTTGTTGAATTTTTTGTCTGGAAGATCTATCCAGTGATGTCAGTGGGGTGTTAAAGTTCCCTACTAGGACTGTATTGCTTTCTATCTCTCCCTTAAAGTCCTCCAGGAATTAAAAAATATATTTCGGTGCTCCTATTTTGGGTGCATATATGTTTACCAGGGTTATATCCTCTTGTTGGATTGATCCCTTTAGTACTATGTAGTGAGTTTCTTTGTCATTTTTACAGCCTTTGTTCTGAAGTTTATTTTGTCAGATATAAGTATTGCTACCTCAGATTTTTTTTCATTTCCATTTACATGGGAAATTTTTTCCATCCCTTCACTTTTATCTTGTGAAAGATGTTTGTTCTGAGGTGGGTCTCTTGTAGACAGCATATATATGGGTGATGCTCTCTTATCCATTCAGGTACTGTGTATCTTTTGATTGGATCATTTAATTCATTTACATTTAAGGTTATTTTGATATGTTCTTATTTGTTGTCATTTTTATTCTTCATGTCTATATTCCTCCTCCCCGTACCCCCATCTATTCTTCTTACAACAGTCCCTTTAACATTTCTTATAATGCTGGTTTGGTGCTAATAAACTCCTTTAGCCTTTTTTTGTCTGAGAAGCTCTTTATTTCACCTTCAGTTTTAAATGATAGCCTCGCTGGATAGAGTAGTCTTGGCTTCAGATCCTTGCTCTTTGTTACTTTGAATATCTCATGCCACTCCCTTCTGGACTGTAGCGCTTCAGTTGAGAAATCAGCTGACAACCTTATGAGAGCTCCCTTGTAGGCAACTGACTGTTTCTCTCTAGCTGCCCTTAAAATTCTTTCTTGTCTTTAATGTTTTCACTTTAATTATGATGTGTATTCTGTGGGTCTCTTTGTGTTCATTTTGATTGGGACTCTCTGTGCTTCCTGAATTTGTATGACTTTTCACCAGGTTACGGAAGTTTTATGTCAATATTTCTTCAAACAAGGTTCTCATCCCTTGATCACTTTCTTCTCCCTCTGGTAATCCTATGATGCGGATGCTGCTCTGTTTCATGTTGTCCCACAATTCCCTTAAACTGACTATACTTTTTAACTAATTTTTCTTTTTGCTGCTCTAATTGAATTATTTTTTCTACCTTGGCTTCTTATTTGATGAGTTTATCCCCAGTTTTTTCTCAACTACTGTTACTTCCTTCCAGGATGTTCTTTATTTCAGCTACATCATTCTTCACTTCTGACTTTTTCTTATTCATGGTTTCAGTGTCTCTTTTTATGCTGATGTAGTTCCCAATAAGTTTCTTATAGTTCTCATTAAGTTTCTCGTAGTTCTCACTAAGTTGTTTGAACATGCTTATAATCATTATAATATGCTTATAACCATTACAGTCTATATCCAATAAATTGCTTGCCTCCATTTCATTTAGCTCTTTTTCTGGAGTTTCCTCCTGTTTTTTCATTTGGGGCTTGTTTGTTTCCCCAATTTTGCTGTTCCTTTGTGTTTGTTTCTGTGTATTGGATAAGACTACTGTGTCTCTCAATCTTGGTGGGGTGGCCTTTTTGTGGGACCCAGTGGTGTAGTTGCCTTGATCTTCTGAGATGAGTGCTCTAAGCATGTCTCTTGTGTGGGTTATATGGGCCCTCCTGTTGAATTTTGGTCTTGATTGTTGTCTGCTTTGTGAGTGGACTCAGCCCTCAGGCATGGTGACTGTGAGTCTCAACCCAGACCACATCGTGTAAACTGTCATTTATACAGGTGCTGATAGAGCAAAGCAAGACTAAACCAGACCACAACATGGAAAAAAAAACAAAACGAAAAACCTACAGAACAACAACTGCAACAATAAAGACTAAAAAAAAAATTCTAAAAGACATTAGACTAAAATAATTAGAGGAGAAAAAAAATCAAAAAAAAAAAAAAAGAAAAAAAAAGAAGGACAAAACAAGAATAAGGATAAAAAATAAAAGAAAGAAAAAATAAATTAAATGATAATTTTTAAAAGTAAAAAATAATGAATACAACAAAATATACAAGATAGGAAAAAAATGGGAAAAAAGACAAGAAAGAAAATAAGTAAAAATTAAAAAGTAAAGAGAAAAAAGAATAGGCTAAATGGAAAGATAAAAATAAGAGAATATGAAAGAAAAAAGTGAAGAAAGAGGAAGAAAAACAAATCAAAGGCAAACAAAAAAATACACCTTGGGATCTTCTATTTGTGTAGCTTGCTGGATTTTGTCCAGATGTTGTTGAATTTGGCCCATGAATATGTTGGACTGAGGCCTCCTGGGAAGTTCTCTGGTGTGGGACAATGTGAGTCACTGTCCATGCCTGGCCCGGGGGCAACCTGACTGAAGTCTCGAAGGGCAGACCCCTGAGTAGTCCAGTGGGCGGGCCTCTGTAGCCCAGAGGCTGGGTCTGCCTCCTGTCTCACACCTTGAATGTCCCTGTTCTGAACTGCTCTCTCTTCTTCCACAGATATAGGGTTTGTAGGGGTATCCTGGTCCTGGTCAAGGTGGTTTAAACAGTCTCCCATTGGAGGTGGTGCCCATAGCTTGTAGGAGGGGCAGGTGGGCACTTCCTCTCCTTCCAATGCCTCAGCTCTTCTTGGGTCACTCACAACTTTGCTGTCACTCCATGCAAGAGGGGATATTTAAAAACCCAGCTTCACTTTGCTCTCCAATCTTTCAGCACGCTGGCCGTCACTGGGTGGGGCTTCTACCCAAGATCCCATGGCCAGATGTTCGAGTCTTCCCACACCACCAGACCCAGCTGCACAGGTGCAAATTTACATCCCAGAGCCATTTGACAGGTGGGGGTGTGGGGCCAGCCTATTCTGTGTCTACACCCCTCCTACCAGTCTTGATGTGGCTTCTTCTTTATATCCTTAGTTATAAGAGTTCTGTTCAGCTAGTTGTCAGGTGGTTCTCAAGGGTGATTGTTCTATAATTTAGTGGAAGTTTTGATGGGGTCATGGGAGGAAGTGAGCAGAGAGTTTTCCTTGGGTATGTTTTATTTTTATTATTCTAAGTTTATAAATGAAGAAACTGAAGCACAGAGAGTTGAAAGAAAATTGTTTAAGGTAATAAGGTAGGTAGTGGCCGAGATAAGATTCAAACCAAAGAATCTTCTAGATTTTTTGTTCTTCATCCATCATCAATACTGGTGGAATCTTTATGGTACAAGGTTGGACATCAGGAATTCACTGTTTTAAGAGGATATAAACGTGGCAGGCTGATGTGGGATAGTGGGAATGGAGACTAATGCTGGATGCACATGAATGAGGATGACTTTCTCTCCTAAGGCCATACCATTGTCCCTATCACCTGAAGTCAGCATGATTTGCTATCTCCTGCTCCTGAGCTGTGGCTGTGGGCTCATTCTTTCACTATGATTCCATATATATTACTTTTAGAAAATGTCCTTTAGTCTCCAAAATCTTGCTACCAGAATATTCCTTTTGAAAGCTTTTTCTGGTCATCATCAAGTATTTTGTGTCTTATGGATGTAAATATTATCTCTAACAGGAGCAGTCTGCATCAGCTTGGTAATGATGGAAATAAACCTGTGACCCAGCTAGGTGGGCCTTGCAAGTGCCTTTAAAACCAAAAGAGATTCCCTAAGGTTCAAGCTTTGTTCACTTTCCCTGGAAAACTATCAATTATCAAGGTTACTTTACAGGCCATCAGAAAAATACCCGGTTCCCTCAGGCATCATTCATACCCTCTGATGGAGTCAAGAATGTTAAACAGAAACACCTCATGTTTTATTTACAGAACTCTGGAATCGATTATGGAGACATTTCTTCCAGAATAGCACTCCGGGAGAAATTGGAATGTAAAACTTTTGACTGGTATCTGAAAAATATTTATCCAGCCCTGAAGCCAATACGCGACATTGTAGGCTACGGAAGAGTACGTATTATGAAATTGCATTTCAGAGTTTAAATGTTTGACTGTAACAGAAAATGAGACCTGAATCGCATCACTACCTAGAAAAGGGTTTCCAAACTCCATCCTGCCCAAGATTCCCTTCCTATCCCCAACTCCTTCCTTGGCTTTTTGACCTTGGACACTCTTGGTTTCCTTTTATGTCTTGCTCCCCAGTTTCCATCTCTCTTCCTTCTTTCTGCCTCTGCTTCCTTACTTAGCAAACTGCAGCCCTTGCTCTGACCCTCCTAGTTTCTGAGCCAATCAGGGTGTTTGGCCTCACACACCTAAATCGGGGCATAAGTGCTCCTTCTCTATCTGTGCTGTGATGGTCCAAGGGGGGGGGTTCCCAGGAAGTGGGCATCACAGCAGCGTCTCACTTCAACATTTGTCTAGTGCTTAGAAAATTGCTGTCAGGATACCAAACTGCTGGTCCCTTTGGCTGGTAATTTCTGGCACCCTTGGAGTACTGGAGAAAATGCAGGGCCTGGGGAGACTTGAGGGCCTTCTTTCTCTGACTTTTTCCAATCATGTTGTCATATGTTTTGCCCCTTCAGCTGAAAAACCCACTGGATGGAAATGTCTGCCTGGATCAGGGACCTATTCTAGGCAACACCCCCACCATGAATTACTGTAATGAATACAGTTCACAGGTATCCTCCTAAAATCAACTGGGGGTGGGGAGAAAGATACAGAGAGTACTTCTTGATACTCAGGAAAGTTCAGTGCTCCCCATGGTGACTGAGTGTCCAGGGGAGCCATGAGCAGTCTTTTTATCCACTATAGGGTCAAGGGCCTCTCCTCTGACTGTGTCCATGGCACACCCCTTTGCTGTCTTCTAGAATGTCTACTACCATCTAACTGGGGAGTTGTATGTGGGACCGCTGATTGCAGAAACAAATACTGATGATCGCTGCCTGACAGACCCTGGCAGTGGGGAGAAGCCCACTTTAGAGCCATGTTCCAAGGCAGCCCAAAATAGACTGCACATATATTGGGATTTTAAACCGGTGAGTCACATTCTTTTTAAAGGATATATTCAAATATAATCTGAGAGGTTCAGATTTGATTTGATAGTGTTTTAGAAAGACTTATTTTGTGCCAGTGTGTAGGGAAAGCACTGGAAACATGGAACTGGGCGTGGAACACTGAGCCTGTTGACTAAGGCGGGGTGGCTAAGGGAAAGGAATATGTGATATAGCTTAACAGTTAAGAGTTTGGGTTCAAATTGTAGTTCAGTCACATTTAGCAATTTTATTACCCTCTTTGAGAGACTCAGTTTCCTCATATATAAAGTGATAATATCGACTTTGCGGGTTTGGAGGATTAAATGAGATAACGTGTGTAAAGCTTTTGGAACACTGCCTGGCACATAGAAAGCGCTCAATAAATATTAGCCATTGTGATCAGTTTTATTGTTAATGATAATCAGAGTCAGAAGCACTGGGCTGAAATTTGACAGGGACTATATAAAAGTCCTGACTTCGGCGTCAATTGACCAAGAATAAGGTGGAGGGAATCTGGCAGAATTTACGTGACAGTGACATGAGTGACCTGGTTGACCACAGTCTATGTGTGAATTTACTGTGTGATAGGGCAGCATTAAGTCGCACTGGCAAGACTGTGACGTCCTAATGGTGGGAGGCAGTGCTTTGTCTATGGACACACCTCTGAGCATGTTGGTACTGTATGAGGTTCAGGAGCCACATAGTAAAAGACATGGACAATCTAACACAGTAATTCCTAACTTAAAGCTAAAAACCTCTTTGCGAATCTGCTGCAGGCTATGGGCTGTCTCCAGAAGAACATATATGTGCATATATGCGCACAATTTTGTTACAATTTCAGGAGATTTTGGATCTTAGATTAAGTCTCTCTGAACTAGACAATATCAGTGAAAAGGAGGAAGAGAGTAGGTCCTGTCTCCCCACTCTAAGCTCCAGCTGTATGGAAATACATATAATTCTGTGAAAGGCCATGCTCCCTCTTAGGCACTTTTGTAGGTGTGTTTTCCTCTCCTCCCTGCTCTTTACTGGGCCAGATTCAAAGTGTTCTTCTGTCTCATTTTTTCTTCTAATTGCCTGCTCACTTCTTTTCATAGCTAGACTGGAGGCTGGAGGCCAAGGCCTGGCTTCTGTTTGTTGTTTTCTCTCTAGCATCTAACACAGTGTTTGGAGTGTTGCAGGCATTCAAGAAATGATTGCAGAACAAATAAAAGATTGGCAGACCTGGAGGTACTGGCTAGAGGAGAGGCGAATCTAGAGAAAAGACGGTGCTGTGTTCATGAGAAAGAAGAAGTAGACTTGTTCAGTGTCTGCAGGAGGGCAAAACTAATAAGACCAGATGTTGGAGACCAAGGAGTTTGACTTAGCATAATGGGCAGGGGGAGGAATTTCTAACAGTCTAACGGCTTAAACTGTCCTACAAAAGAGTGGGCTGCCTGGCGAGGTGGTGAGCTCTCTGTCAGTGGTAGTCACCAAGCAAAGTATATTTGAGCATCTGGCAGGCCTAGTGTAGTTCACGTGAGTTTTTGAAATCCTTAATAATATCTTTTGTGTGCAGAAAATGCAATTACAGGTTTCCTTTCAGTTAAAAATTAGTAATTAACTTATTAAAGTTATAAATTAAAGAACTCGTTTTTCTTTAAGCTTTTATGTTCCGCTTACAAATCTTATTTTATTTATGAACCTATCAAGTTTTAACAATCACTTTTTATGTGTTTAATCTGTGTGACTTTTATTTGTGTTTTTTGTTTTATTATATTAGCTAGACTTTCTAGTACTACGTTGAATAAGAGTGGTGAGAGAACATCCTTGCCTTGTGCCCTAATGTAAGGGCAAAGCATTGAGTCTTTAACTGTTAAGTATAAGTATAACATTAGCTGTAGATTATTTTGTAGTTGAAGTGATTTCCCTATGTTTCTAACTTTTTAAGAATTTGTTTTATACCGAATGTGAGTTGAATTTTGTCAAGTGCTTATTCTGTGTCAATTGATATGATCCTATTTTTTCTTCTTTAGCCTCTTTATATGATGGATGACACTGATTGATTTTCAAAGTTGAGCCAGCCTTGTGTACCAGTAATAAATCACACTTAGTCATGGAGTATACTTTTTTCCCCCATACTTTGCTGGATTTGGTTTGCTGGTATTTTGTTGAAGACTTTTGTGTCTAAGTTTGTTAGAGATCATGGTCTGCAACATTTTTTCCCTTCAGTCTTTGGTTTCAGTATTGGCCTTGTAGAGTGAGTTGGGAAGTATTCCCTCTTCCTGTAGATAAAATTTATCCTTTTGACAGAAATTAAAGAATAGACCAATTTCTGAAAGAGGCATTTTCTGGAAGATATTGTCTTAAATTGGTATACAACATAGTACTAGAAATTCCAGCCAACATAATCCTTCTTTAAATGTTTAGTATACTTCTTCAGTGAAACCTTATAGGCCTGGAGAATTCTTTTTCAGGAGCTTTTAAACCATGAATTGAAAAAAATTTTTACTGGCACAGGGCTATTCAGATTATTTATTTTGAGTTTTTATGATTATGTATGATGCTTGAGTTTTGATTGTTTATGGTTTTTGGAAATTAACCCCTTAAAATTTATGAGTATAGAGTTATTTGTAATGTTTTAATTATTTATTTATTATTATTGAGATGTAATTGACATATACATTATATTAATTTCAGGTGTACAACACAATATACATAATTTGTTGCAAAATGATTATACACAATAATTTTAGTTAGCATCCATTACCAAACATAGTTACAAAATATTTTTTTCTTATGAAGCTTTTAAGATCTACTCTCTTAGCAACTTTAAAGAGGATTTTACAATTTAATAAATATCCTTAAACATTATAGCTTATATTTATAAATTTAATACATTAAATTTTCTTTCTTAAGGCATTCAATTATCTGAGTTTAAATTGAATGATTCTTAAGTTCTTTTAAATGTTCAAAAGTGTTTGCAATCTAGTGAAATTTCAACATAAAATCACAGATTTAATTATTCAATTACACCTTTTAAAATTGGTAGCACAGCCTGGGGCGCATAGCTCAGCAGTTGAGCATCGACCTATGATCCAGGAGATTGCAGTTCGATTCCCGGTCAGGGCACATGCTTGGCTTTCGAGCTCAATCCCCAGTGGGGTGCGTGCAAAGAGGCAGCCGATCAATGACTCTCTCATCATTGGTGTTTCTATCTATCTCTCTCCCTTTCCATTTTTTTCTCTGAAATCAATAAAGATATATTTTTAAAAAATAAAATAAAATCGGTAGCACAAGAGTAATATAAACAAAGCATGCGCTTAAACATAGTAACATATGTAGAATCTTTAACAAATACTGTGTGTTTGGCTCCCTTAACATTTATACTTTAGTCTAAATCTCCTGGGAATTAAAGATATTACATATGCTAAAGAAACAATTATGGCATCCCAAACATTTTGAGGGTTGCTTTTTAAGAGCATTTTGGAAGATCTCTTCCTCAGGTGGCTGAAGTTGCTGGTAGAATACAGATTGTGGCTGGGCGAGACCTGGAGCTGCAGGACATCCAGGGAGAGTGTACCTACCCTCTGGTGTCCAGGCTGGATCCCTTTTTATGGTCACTATGCCAAGAACTCCAAAAGTTAAAGAGGGAGGCAATCAGGTAGCTCATAGTGTTTCCTGATTTTAAGTCCGTTTTAAGTCAATTCATTCTATCTAAGCCTTTCATAACCATCTTATCCCAATTCTTTCAGATATGAACGTGATATTTGACTGAATGTTGGGACTCTTTTGTGCTCTATTTACTTTGTAGACACAACTTACACATTCATTCTACTAAAAAGTTACCTAAGATATTTTCCAGAATTGAGAGGGAGGTAAGACTAGATAATCCCTTTGTTTTCTTCCAAATTCATGATTAACATTTTGAGTCAACCAGAGGGGGTTATGACTTTCGAAGACCACAAGAGAGAGAGAGTGCCAGTGACTGCGAAGAGTCCCAATGTGAAGAGATGAGTTAGAGACACATCTGAATTTAAGGAGAATGTGGGTGAAGGTCATTGTTTGGAAGTCTTCCAGATGGAGTGACAACTCAGGACACAGAGAATCTCTGGGAGAGGTAGTGAGAAGGAAGAGACCACTTGCAGTCAGGGTTTGAGAAGAGACCTCTGGGGAGTGCACTCCCAAGCTGCTAGTGGTAATAGCTCCAGAAAGCAATTCAGCTCTCTATAGGAAAACCCCGACACCGATCAGAACTCTAAAACTAATTATGCCCCTTTTAAAGGCACTAATTCTCTTTTAAGACAATATCTTAATTTAAGGAATAATATAGAATGTAGGTCAAGATTCATATAAAAAACATCTTAATACTTATCATAGCAAAATATTAGGAAAAATTAAATGTTTAACAGTAGGAGAGATTTTTTATTCACCCCTTGAACTGAATATTATATAGCCATTCAAACTATTCTCAAGAAGTGTATTTTCAAAAAATTAATGAAATTGGAAAATTCACGTGATGTAGTGTTAAATTTAAAGAACAGGATATAAAAACTCTATATACAATGCTATCCCATTATGAGTGCTTCTAATTTTAAAAATATATTTTCCAAGTTAAAAAAAAAAGCACATATTCTTTCTGTAAAAAGGAAAAAGAAACAAAAACAAAAATATTTTAAAAACTGGCAGGCAATACTCCTCAAGTAAAAACCAAAGCAAAAATGTATTAGATCCAGATGAACACAATGTAAAAGAAAACAGAGTCTGAGTAGGACACTGCCAAAGTACATTTCACTTGGCAGTGATGAGAAAATAGAAAAAAGACCACTGACTCTCTCAGAAATTATAATAGCCAAGATTTATTGAGTACGTATTAAGTGCCAGGCACTGGGTTAAACGTGATCTAATTTAGCTTTTTTTTAAAATATATTTTTATTGATTTTAGAGAGAGGAAAGGAGAGGGAGAGAGATAGAAACATCAATGACGAGAGAGTCATTGATCGACTGTCTCTTGCATGCCCTTGACTGGGGATCGAGCCCGCACCCCGGGCATGTGCCCTGACAGAGAATCGAACCTCGATCTCCTGGATCCTAGGTCGATGCTCAACCGCTGAGCCATGCCCCGCCAGGCTAATTTAGTCTTTACATAAATTTTATAAGAGAAGTATTATTATCATTAGCTCTACTTTACCTATGAAGTAACTAAAGCACAGAGAAGTCAAATAATATTCCCAAGGTCACACAGCATGATAAATGTTGAGGGTTCAAAGACGGAATCTCATCCACTGTTTGTTATTGCCTCGCTGATTAGGAAGTTTGCTTCTGAAAGGGAGAAACACACTGAATGTTGGCTTGAAAAGGAAGGTAGAGTTAAAGGTGTCTCTCCCTGCCCCCGTTCTAATATTGGGACATTTGGATATATTCAAAGTCAATAGAAAAGGAAGCTGCCAAGAGGGAGAAATAAAAGAAGGATGTTAGACAGGAAGAGTTTTTCTTTATGTATGTCAAGGACGGCTGGGCTCAGAGCACAGGGCGCTGCTGGCAGTAGAGACAGGCAGGGCAGCTCCCCTGAGACCAGCCCTGAGCAGCATTTGAGGATTGCTCATGGCATTCCCCTGAGGGACTAGACTGACTGGAAGCCGGGTCTTCTGACAGTGTGAAACATAAAGGCACGTAGTGAAAGTGGGCATCAAGGATAAAGCGTGCTAAGGAGGCCTGGAGGAGTAGCTCTAAGGAGTAAGCCAAGTGCTGAGGCCAGACTGCTGTAGGCACATTTGTGGGTAGGCCTGCTCCATTGGTGGCCCCTCTCGGGGAGCCCAGTGTGGTCTGGAAGTGGGGGCCAAGAGAAAGGAGCAGTGGGAGTGATGGGAGGAGATCATGAACCGGGAGAACCACCCTGAGTGGTGATGCTGGGTGGATGCACCCTGGGAGGTGGGGGCGAAAGGAGTCCAGTGTGGCCAGGGGCAAGCGACTGTGGGGGAGCAGGGCTGTCGGGGGCAGTTTGTGGTTGAGGGAGAAGAGAGGTACAGAGGTGATGGTTATGGAGAGAGCAGGGATGTGGCCATAGAGATGGTGCCCTTCCTGCTGTTGGAACACTTGGTGGTTGGTAACGTGGGTGGAACAGCGAGATCAGGGTTTCCCACTAGACAAAGGAGGCTGTTAACTCTGAGGACGACAGCAGAGGGAAAGCAGAGTCACCGGCCCTGAGGCAGGCAGTGGGGAGTGGGAGGACTGGGAGAACAGGACAGGGCCTGGACAATGGTGTGTCACCAACTGTCGAGCCTCGGAAATAAGGAAGAAAGAGGACGAGCCCTCCTCCCTCTTTCCCCATTAGCATGGGGAGAGGCCTCTGCCTCAAGATGCTCAATAAATATGAACCCTAACGTTAACCCTGGTGTTAACTCTAAACCCACTTTACAGATGAGGACATTGAGACTTAGGAAGGTTAGATGATTTGCCAAAGGCCCCTGTGTTTGTACATATTGCAGAAGGGATTTAACCCAGGTGCTTTAACTCTAAAGCCAGCAACAGTTCCCAGTAGTAAACCCTGGTGAAGCCCCCCCCCCCCC